TTCATACTCTTCATGCCTTTTTTGGGAAAAAGTTGTTAGAAAATTGTAATAAAATGAAGATGAGATTGAAGTTAAACCCTAGTGCTATGTGTGGTTTTGCTGATACATACTATTTTCAAATTTTGAATAAAAGAATGTTAGTTCCTAGAGGTCTTGTGTTCTATATAGTTCTAAATACTAATTTACCTCCTTTTTGCAAATTCTCAAAAAATATTAAGAATGGTTTTTTTTTAATTGAGGTGTAATTGACATACAACATTACAATGGAGAATGGCTTTTATTAAACATTATTTCTAATGCAGACTCCACTCTGGTCCATAGTCTAAAATGACTTCTAGATTGAGTTTAATAGTCATTTTAATAAACTCTGTAACCTTTTCAGAGCAGTATCGGAAGTCCTCAAACTGTAATGCAGGTTATTTTGGTAGAAAGGAAATTTAAGAACCAGTGGAAAAGGATGTGTGCCTGTTTACTGCGTCTTTAAGATTAGATAGATTAGCTCTCTGCAGAGTCAGCTAGTTGCCAAGCACATTTCCTGCTAGAACTTTCTGTCAAGAGTGTATTTTCAGAAGCCAGGAACAGATTTTTAATGAATACCTTTAACCATTGAGATGACAAAGGGAGAGAATGTCTAGGCTAGTCTGTTATAGAAATAGCCTGACATTTATCTATGCTTTTATTTATACTGTTCTTGTTCTTATTGCACTTAATCAGTCCCGTTTGTTATTATCTTTGCTGTATTCATTTTAGGATTGTATATTTTGTCATTTAAAGGCATATTTTCTTGAGACTCACATGGTAAGAAATATGAAGGAGCACAAAGATTTGTATCCTTACCCTGAAAAAGTTATCTGCAGACTACCTGCTAAATTCAAAGGACAGAAGATGTCTGTGAAAAATATTAATCAATTGTCTGTTGATTTTTTCTAGTGTAGAGTGAAAGTATCTTTGAATATTTTATTCTTCTTATAATATGCTGCTCTTTTTCTCTTTTTTTTTTTTGGTGAGGAAGATCAGCCCTGAGCTAACATCCATGCTAATCCTTCTCTTTTTGCTGGGGAAGATCAGCCCTGAGCTAACATCTGATGCCAATCTTCCTCTTTTTTGCTGAGGAAGATTGGCCCTGGGCTAACATCCGTGCCCATCTTCCTCTATTTTATGTGGGACACCACCACAGCATGGCTTAACAAGCGGTGCATCAGTGCCCGCCCAGGATCCGAACCGGCGAACCCCGGGCCGCTGAAGCGGAATGCATGCACTTAACTGCTGTGCCACTGGGCTGGCCCCTCTTTTTCTCTTTTTATAGTTTTATTTTAAAACACATAATAATCAATTTTATGTGTATTTTATCATAATAAAAAAATTGGAAAAAACTCCACATGATAATCAGTAATACGGTACTGCATGATATGGGGGAGGATCCTGATCTTGACTTCAGAAATCTTGCATTTGAACTCCAGCTACTCATTAGCCATGTGGACTTAAAAAAATCACTTACCCAATTTCCTTTCTATAAAATCGAATAGTAATTCCTAGTATAATTTCCTCATAGGGTTAGTGATAATCAGAGTCTGTTCAGCAAGTGAGAGTTTAAAACAGATATAACAATAAAACTTTAATAAATGTATCTCATAAATATTGTTACTATGTATTTTTCACTATGATAAAAAATTAATATAAATACATAGTTTTATATATTATAATATTCTGTATTATAATATACATACTATATATAATATTACATATAATACTCTATCCTATATAGTCATATAGATTAAATAGTTATATAGACATGCGTATCATTAGAGTTTATCATTTTGTACCCATTTTCTACACTCAGATTTCTAAGACATAGACCTCAAAGCATACTCGAGAGAAATTTATGCTTTTTATATCTAGACTGTTTCTGCCCTAAAAATCTACTTTGCTCTCTACTCTCTATCCCCAGAGTTTCTGATTTTGTAGCTCTGAGGTAAGGCCAAAGAATTTGCATTTCTAGCAAGGTCCCAGGTTAATGCTGATGTCGCTGGTCTGGAGACCATTCTTTGACAACCACTGAACTAGACTGACTCCCTAGAAGGGAATATTGTTTATTGTTTTCCTTATGTTGTTTTCTTAAGCGTAGAAGTAATCTACAAAATCCCAGCTTAAACAAATGATTCATCTCAATTATGCTCTCACTGGACTCAAGATGTTAAAAAAATCCTTCAACTCCCTTAAAATTATGGACGCTTAGTTTCATAGATATTGCTTTAAAACTATATGCCTGCTTTGTATTTCCTAAACTTAAGGAATGAATGGGTTTTTTGAGAATGTACTTTTAAATTTAAAAATTCAGCTAACTAAATCATGTACATTTGTAGAAGATTCACTAGGAAGTTCAAACTAAGGTGGGACATTAGAAGGCCGTATACAGCTGATGAAAGACTAAAGATTCTGTGCATTTTCTCATTTTTGAGTAGTCTGACCCTTGAACAATTGTACAGTGCCGCTGAGTACAATGGCCAAAAGGTGTACTCTGACATTTAACTATCAAATTCTTCTAACTTTAAGCAAAATAAGTTTGCACAAGCTCCCATTAATGTAAACTTCTGATGACTCGATAGCTTTCAAAGCCTGTAGTAGGAGTTTAACCAAATAATCTTTAAAGTTTCTTTTGGCTCTAGAGCTATGATTGTATTTACTTGTCCATTAAACAATTAGTAACAAATTTTTTTCTGACTGGTTAAGTCATTGATTCCTCATTAAAATTTTAGTGCATAGGTTTAATTGAAGATAGGTAAATTATTATGTTAGACAACTGTGGGTTTTAGATGAAATAGCAGGAACAGTGACTGCATGTATTTTTACTATGTTTTTGCCCCATAGTGTTGCTGTAGTAATTGAGCCTTCT